CTGTACTCACACAAGACTGTACCTATGCCAAGGAATTTACACAGGCTAACTTTGATATATACACTGATGGTCCAAAGTTCAATTTCAAATGGCCCAGGGTTTTTTAGAGATGTAATCTCCCCTTCTTGCCAGGCTCTTACTACCATACATTCTCCTCCAACTGCCCCACACTCCCCCAGGCACAAGGAGACCGAATCAGTTTAAATTTCCACTATTGCCTCCTACCAAGACATTTCCCCACCTCAGCCTTTCTGATCCATCACCCAAAGCAAAAGTGAAGCAACGGGGGAAGAATGAACATAATGACCATACTGGGTCAGACCAGCGGTTCAGCTAGCCCAATATCCTGTCTTCTGACAGTGGCCGGTGTCAGATGCGTCACAGGGAGTGAACAGAACAGCAATTTATCAAGTAGTCCAGTAACAGCTTCTAGTAGTAAGAGGTTTAAGGACACCCACAGCACAGGATTGCATCCCTGACTATCTTGGTTAATAGCCATTAATGGATCTATCCTCTATGAACTTATCTAATGCTTTTTTGAACCCAGTTATATACTTTTGGCCTTCACAACATCTCCTGGTAATGAATTCCACAGGTTGACTGAGTGTTACGTGAAGAAGTACTTTCTTACGTTTGTTTTAAACCCGCTGCCTATTAATTTCACCCTTGGTTCTTGCGTTATGTTCTTTTCACTTTGTCCATGCCATTCATGATTTTATAGACCTCTGTCATATCCCACCTCAGTCATCTCCTTTCTAAGCTGACCAGTCCCACACTTTTTAATACCTTCCCATATGCAAGCTGTTCCAGATCCCTAATAGTTTTTCTTGCCTTTCTCTGTACTTTTTCCAATTCTAATACATCTTTTTTGAGATTGGGAAACCAGAACTGCACGTGGTATTCAACATGTGGGCGTACCATGGATTTATATAGTGGCATTACATTTTCTGTCTTATCTATCACTTTCCTAATGGCTTCTAAAGTTAGCTTTTTTTATTGTTGCTGCACATTGAGTGGACATTTTCAGAGAACTATCCACAATGACTCCAAGTTCTCTTTCTTGAGTGGGAACAGCTAATTTAGACTCCACCATTTTGTATGTATAGTTGGGACTACGTTTCCCAATGTCCATTATTTTGCATTTATCAACACTGAATTTCATCTGCCATTTTGTTGCCTGGTCACCAGTTTTGTGAGATGCCTTTGTAACTCTTTGCAGTCAGGTTCGGATTTAATTATCTTGAATAATTTAGTATCATCTGCAAACTCTGCCACCTCACCGTTTACCCCTTTTTCCAGATCATTTAGGAATATGTAGCATTTATGAATGTTTTAGGGAAAAGGCTAGAATAGGGATGGATCCAGCTATCATGATTTATTTATATGTAGCCTTGCCAACCTCAGATTGTGGAAATTTCAACTTCCATTAAAAAATAATAATTTTTCTAGCCCTCTGCAGAGATAATCTTTTAAACATGAACTGAGTGTAAACTGATCTGCAGAAAGACTGAAACAATGACTCAGAGGGAGGAACTCCCTGTTCCCTATCAATCTCATTTAAATGTCAAAGGACAACGATGCCCCACTGCAGTGTCAACCTTAACTATTAATGATCATTTTAGGAACAAGAGAGGAATTAAGCGTGGGAATTGGGTGTTGTTGAAGGGAAGAAAATGTAGAGGGGGGGAAAAACAGAGGAGCCTCACAAATAAAGAAGAGAAACAGAAAAGGGGAAAGAGAACCAAGGACAGAAGAAGTGGCAGCCTAAAAGCGGGAGAGGGTTCTCATCATTGGCACTGACAATAAGGGATTGAACAAATAAACAATAAATAGAAGTGTAGTGATGCCAAACTTTTCACTCATATCTGTGGGAGATTAGGCATGAATTGAGGGGAGTATTAAGTCTTTAATTTATATCCCAACCCATGGACAATAAATAAACACGGCCCTCCTTCAAATCACTTTGATACTGACCACATTAGTGAGACCAGTACTATAATACCATGTCCAGTTCTGGTTTCCATACTTCAAAAAGGATGCTGAAAAATTATTTAAGGTCTGGAAAACATACCTGATAGTTAAGAGACTAAAGCAGCTCAATCAATTTAGTTTGTCCAAGAGAAGGTTAAGAAGTGACTTGATCACAAACTACAAGTACCTATAGGGGGAAGAGATTTCTGATAATAGATGGCTCTTTATCTAGCAGAAAAAGGAATAACTACAATAACAGCCAATGGTTGGATGCTAGAAAAACCAGATGGGAAATAAGGTGCAAATTTTTAACAGTGAGGGTAATTAACTATTAGACTTACCTAGTGTAACATGATGGAATCTACATCACTTGAAGTCTTTAAATCAAGACTAGATGTTTCTAAAAGAACTCGAACAGAAGTTATGGGCTTGATGGAGAAGTTACTGGGTGAGGTTCTACGGGCTGGTGTTATGCAGGAGGTCAGACTAGATGATAATTGTCCTTTCTAGCCTTCACATCTATGACACCTCTGGGCTAGAATAATGCTTCTGGTCCTGACACAAAGTGGGACCCTGCAGCTACCAGTTTGTTTCAGGTGGGATTGGGTTTAAGGATCCAAGCTCAATGAAGATTGGAAGGACAGGGTAAAATCCTGTTTTCATTAACCTACTCCACGATGAAAATAACAGGCATGAGGAAGTGAACCCAAACATCTTAGACGCTACTGCCACCTCTATAAAGCCCTTAATTCACGATATTGTGGAAACTGTGAATACTGCAATTATTAGGTTTCCACCGCAATTTTGAGAGTGGAAGCCTTGGCTGCCCGAGGTGGCCAACAGCAGGGGTCCCTGCTCTCAGCCTCGGGTAGCCACTGTCAGCTCCAGGCCCCCATTCTGAGTCCCCGGGCGGTCAACAGGGAAAAATCGTTGATATGTAATAATGGACCTTATAAACTGCAAATAATAAGGTCTATTATTACTTTTCCGTGATTTTCCATGGCTTGTCCACAACTCAACTGCAATTTTTGGACAATCATCCCATGATTCAAATAGGACCTTACTCATTTAAGTTATAGATATGAGGAAACTGCACTACTGAAAGGTAATTTGAGAGTATGGGAAGTAAACACAAGTAGAAGGAAGCTAAGCTGAAGATGCTCTTAGTCAAGCTTCTCAAAAAAAAATTCAAAGCTGCAGCACTCTCTTTATATTACATAGCATGTCAGGAGAGGTCGGCTAGCAAAAAGCCTTTAAATATGTATAGAGAATTCCATGATGTGATGAGGCAGCAGGCAGTATAAACAAAGCAGAATATATTTCTGTTCATTAACGGAAGTGTCAGATCATTGCAATTTTTAAAAAATTAATTTGGCTGATCTAATTCCGTAAAAAGTTAGATTTCCAACTTTCTATACTATGTACCATAACATGAAAGGACAAAAAGCAAAAGGACTATATAAGTTTGAGTTCTAGTCAGTTTAAGTGAAACAGTACTTTACTATTCAATGTTACAGAAATATTTGCGGAAAAGGCCTGTCTGGCCTAAGGCTTGGTATTATATTTGTCAACGTCAGTGATGGGGGAAAAGAATCCTCTCATAATAACCACTTCCCTCAATGTGACCACATGTGATACCCAAGAAAGGACAAGAGTTTAATATCCTGTTCCTTAATTATACTTGAGGGCATTTTAAAATGCGCTTCAGTCATGTAAGCAAAATCAAGATAAACTCATGTGACAATGTAGGGCTATACAGACATCAGAATCCATCATTTTCTCTTCATATTATGTAACTCCTTGGATTTTCACGAGATGGTCCACATATGTGCTTGTCACACTGTCAAGCACAAGATGTCTTGATAGTTGTAGTCCACCGCAGAAATTTTATCTACTGGGGTTACCCCCACTCCGCCCAGCCCCGCCCTTTG